ATTGACGACCTGTGTGACAAGACAAGTTTTATTTTACCTTGACAAAAAGTTGAATAATACGATTTTCAAAGTAAACAGTTACGAAAGCGGCTGTCATACTTTAAATGGCAATGATAAAAACAATAAAGCAGTTAATGATAATACCGTTCGGTTTCAATCCGCACTTCGAAACTCAACTCGAAATCAAAGGGCTAATTCAAGTAATTTACGTGTCTTCCTACAATAGAATTTATCAAGAGTTTCGCTAAAACCCTTTGCTGCATAGTCCTTGTCATTTCGATGCAAAATATCCCTTACAATGAATGGGCTGCAAAATTTCATTCAACAACTCAAGCCTTTCGCTGAAAATAAATTGTTCCTGGGTTCATTGACTTAAAAACAAGCTAGCTAATAATGATAGTTTGTTAATGTTCTATTCGATGAGATTGTGGGCAGATTTCTAAAGTCGAACCAGGAGGATTTTCCGTAACGGTGTGGTATCCAAAACAAAATTAAATACGACAAAATTTCATTGTGCATTCAAATGTCGTTTATAGAGAAAAACATTAAAACAATTTACAAAAATTCGCTCGCGGTAATTTCTACATTTTCCATAGCTTGATCAGAATTCAAAATTTGCGGGTTTTTTGTGAAATCATCCTGCAAATTCTATATTTACCTCAGAATTCCTCAGCCACCATTCAGTCTCAGAATGTTCTGTATAGAACCTGAATTCGGTATTAGCAAATCCTTTCCTTTAAAGATTAAAATGTTAACGAGTAGACACAATCTATGTCATGAGGTAACAGTTGTGCATGAAGAGCGCTGCAAGAAGCTGCAGACTAAAACATCCCAACAGTAAGACACGAGCAAACATGCCTACTCGCAATTCATCTACCTCGGCCATCAGAAATAATTTCCAGCACATTTTTGAATACATCGCCGTATGCGATCAAAGAGATACTTGGGCGTTGCCTTCAGGTCCAAATATAAGAATCGACTGGCTAACGATCAAGGCCGGTTTCGTGTCGATAACTTCCGACTCTATGTCTTCTACGTTGCACATGAATTGGCGTAAGATATTTAAATTTTGTAGCTCAGCCAGTGTTTTGATTCCTATACACATAACATTGACATTTGCAAGACAATCGGCTGATTTGAAAACAATAGATTGCCATTAAGTAAAAAAAATGACTTCTGTTCAGAATAATTTCTTGGCTAAATTTTTCCGCAGAAAACTGAGAGGGAGGAGCATCATCATAGTGCACGATATTTTGTGCACTCGGAAATTGATCTATTTATTAAGACACCGTATCCATAAAATCATAATAATAATAATAATAATAATAATAATAATAATAATAATAAAAAGCATAACTTCATTTGATCTCCAAAGCACATTTTGTAATAAAAAATAAAAATAAACTCAAAACTTCCTTTAACCCTTGAACTCCCAAGATCTGATTGTTAATTCTCCCCTCTAGCTGCTATATATTTCCTTTATCTTAGTTCCGAGAATCTGGTGTAAGATGAAGAAAACAACCTTAAACTGATAAGTTTGAGTATTCTCATTACCTGTTTGCTGGATAATGAATGGCTATTATAGAGAGAAGTTACATTTTAATCATTTCTGGAAGTTAAAGGGTTAAAGACATGTTTGGAAATGAAGGGGAAGCCCCTTTATGATAATTCACCGTCATCTATTGTAGTTTCCAATTTACAATCAACCTATTTCAATTTCAGTTATTCTTTTCGTGTTCGGTAATAATTTTTGCCCGGGAAATTCGATAATGTAAGGATTGCGTATGGCATGTTTTACTCAAAGCATGTTTCTAAAAGCTTTTTTACGCGCCTTTTCTTTTCTTCTCTTTTTTATTTTTTTTTTTAATCTTGCACTTAGACTGAAGTAAAGTGCAATATACGTAAAAAATGAGAGGAAATTCCGACAAAACTCACTGTTAAATTGTCTAAACAAAGAATAAGACAACAAGAAGGCTTTGAATGGTATCCAAAAGGTTTAAAAAAATAACTTTCCTTAGATCAGAAATAAAATGTGTCTCAATATTTCGCTCTTACCTATTGACAAATTCTCTTGAAAGACATTTAGGAAGATTTGTCTCGAATTTCCTGGCAGTTTTTGTTCCAATCGCGTCTTTTACTCTGCCAGTATTAAACATTCTAAGAATTCAAAAAAGTTATTATGTTTCTGTTCCATTTAAGTCCTAAGTCCTAACAACGAATACAATAGTTTTAAATCGTTCTCCGCCATATTCTTATCTACTTCATGAGAAAGTTGGGGAAGTTTCAGTGAATAAAGACAATGATATGCGCTGTCAGCCTTAATTAAAAATCTCAAACTATGCCTGAATCCTTGAAATTATCTGTTTTTATCAGAAAAAAAGCCAAAACCAATTTTGCTTTTCTTACGACTGTACGCCGCAGTTGATTGTGTGGTGTGCTTCTCCTATTAAGGGTAGTCCCTCTTTCTGCATGTCACTCGACAGACAGACAGACAAGGAGAAAGGTGGGCAGAGAAGAGGTCATTCCAATCTAAACTGAGAATTTTCTTACTTGGCCGCAAGGGTTAACTTCAAAATGTTCTAGGAGCATCCTGGTGATTCTCACATGGGATTGCTAAAAGTTCAGGGTACGCGGTGGTCGAAAAAAGAGATAACGAGAAAACTGTTGTTACTTATGTTTTCTAATCTAGAGGTCTGTGTGGAGAGGAAAACAGCCTACTGAAAGGAACCAGGATCGGCTGCATTAACGTGACGATCACCAAGGTGTTGCTCAAATGCCTCCAAAGTTGAAACGTCGCCAACCTCTTCAATTGCTTTTATCAGTTCAAGTACAGTCGCTTTGTGACCCACGGTTCGCTCCCAATGGATGAGGACTTGATAAGATCTTTCGTTCTCTGAGCTGTTTTCAACATGGATGTTTTGAATGGTTGTATCTGATACAAGAAGGGCTCTTCCAAGCCACTTCCAATTGTTGGCCAGTTGCTTGGCGACTACGACAAGGCAGCAACTCTGAACTTGTTCTTACGAGGCAAAAACAGAGCACATAGGTTGAAAAAACTGAGAAACATGCCAAACTTTGAACATGCACCCCACAAATAAACATTGAGATCCATTTGATCCAACAATTGATCAAGCCGAAATTAGATCAGCCTCAGTTAAAATGAGTTTTGCTGATCTCTTTCTTTAAATTTCATTAGCAGTGGCTCTGAGTTTTGTCATTCAGCATATTCAAAACTGCTGATAGGGACTATGGTCTCTCCCAGAGGATACTGCTATATTCATAGAATGATAATCATTTGGCTCCATTTCAAGGATCAGCATGATGTTACAAACGCTCGTTCGGCAGAGGCAGAGTGTGGTTTTGTATATACTACGTTTCTTGTACATTACAAGTCAAGTCAAAAGGGCACGTAGAAAATGGTGAAGTAAAGAGGAAGTTCTTGTTTTCAACATGGAAATTGACTTACCAGAATAACAAGGAGAATCCTCTGGGACCTTAGAACTGCCATCTTGCGGCTGCGGAAAGAAAATTCAAGAAAGAGAGAGGAGAAAATTATAACTTTTTCACGAAAAATGAACCGACGCATGGTAATTTTCCGAAACAAAATTGCTTTCTTTTTTTCAAGATCTTTAACGGTTCTCTGAAATGAGATCGATTATGAAATAATTTTACGGGAATAACCAGAAAGTCTTTTGACCTTCAACTTCGCTTGCCTAGAATTTACGCCGAAAGAAAAGTCTTTAAGATAAGAAATCGGGGCGATTCTTTGTTTAGATAGTTCCTTACCTCGACAAACCACTGTTTAATTTCTTCAAATTCGTGGACTGGCGTAGAGTTACACCACATGGGCTTAGATGGCGCAGTTGGGTCAATGCAGATTACGTGGCGACGAACGCCTTCGGCTGGGGAATGGACAGAGGACACGAGCCCACCACCTTCGCACTCTCCATCATCATCGCCTTCATCACTTTCATCAGAGGAGGTTTCCGCTCGGCGAACCGTTCCGTCACTGGATGACCCAGGGCAACGTGGGTTAGGACAGACAGGCCCAAAGCTGAACTTAAGAAATCTAAACTGGCGCTGACAAATGTCTGTCATTATTGACATAAGTATGTTAAACAATTTGTGGAGCTTCTTGCCATTTTTGTACCTATGAGGGGGGATAAATAAATAAATAAATAAATAAGTAGAGAATCTATACACAAATGGAACTATTAATTAACTTCTACGGTTATGATTTGAAGAAACCTCTTTAATGTCTCGTTCACATGTGGTAGAGCGAAAATCTACAATTCCTAATTTCTAACAATCTCCACGAGAATAATTTATACATGTTAATGCGTATGACTCAATGACACCGACTGTGCCACTGCTATGTCAATGTATTAAAATTTCGTTGATGAACGGGCTTCAAATGAGAGATGCTGACCCACATGGCAGCCATTCAAACTGCCGACCCCAGGGGGGATAAAGTGTGTTGCCCATCAAGAAGGAGGAAATCGCACTTGCCTTGCCCTGATTCGAATTTGGTTGTGTTTCTGACACATCTCCGTAAGAAGAAAGAAACTATCTTCAAATGAAAATATGGCCATCCCTTTGGTGATGATCGGTTTCATACCACTGCTGTCTTTGCTTCTTGCGCTAGTACGAACAATAAAGTAGTTAAAGAGAGCGGGAGGTAGGAAACTACGGAAATCAAACACGAGGAGTTTGTCTGAGGTACAAATTCCAGACCAGCTTTTCTGACAAAGCTTTTCCCACTTTCTCATCAAGCTTTTCTCTTTTAGGTGAAATGGAACAATGTATTTGCTGATTTGAGCACTATTCTCGTCACCTTCAACTGGAACGGTGCCATCTTCGTGGTCTTTTACCTCAGCTGAGGCAGAGATCGGGCACAGCATACCTGACGCTTCCAAGATACCAACAAGCTCAGCAATAGGGCTTCTGAATTTTTCCCATAAAAACTTAAGAAGCTCGATGTCAGCCACTCCTTCCTCTTGCAAGGTCTTCCACTGACTACGGTGTCTACGATCAATATCCAGGTGGTCGGTAACATCGTGAAGACAAGTCATAACATCGACTAGGTATTGTGGATTGATGACCACCAAGTCGTTCAGCTCGGAGTGATACGTCGTCGGTCCGATCAGCTCCTCTGAAAAAAAATTTACCTCCATTTGAACGGGGTAGAGGTTTCGAAATAGTAATTTAGTGTCGCTTGAAGAGTTTAAAGAATGTTCTCAAATTCCTCAACCAAATCATTGTCACTTTAATGAACATGTTTTCTTGAGATTTATGAGACATGTTACAGAAAGGAAATATCTATATGATAATTTACTTACCTGGTAGGATTATCACTCCGCTGTCATGGTAGAAATGCAGCATGCTGTCAAACTCTCTTTCTTCGACAACACGGGAAGTATTCTGCTCCATCATGCGTTTCAGGTTGATCTTGCGCACACAAGGTGGGAAAAGTGGATGATCCCTGCACTTCAGAATTTCCTCTTCAAAATGAAGCCACAGCACAGGAAGTTCCTCCTCCATTTTCTGTAAGAGAGCAGCTTCATTTTCGATAGCTTTCCTTAAGGCTATGGCACCAGAGTCTTCACCACCTAGGGAGTTTTCTACCGGAAACAAGAAGCTTCGTTCTTTACTATTAACCAGTTGCTGCCCAAAGCTCTCTACCAATTCATCATAAAGGACACTCTCTGCAGTAGCCAAATCTTCGTTCGCCACTTCAGCACGACGCGTTCCTACGAGGAACACAGGTGTCGTGTGAGGAGTATGTACGCGTACGGAATTGAGCCAAAAGTGTATCTCCTCTAAGGCTTGGTTAACAGTCTCAGGGTTACACAGGCGAACCAAATTCAATACAACAAGATAAAATGAACGCCGATTTAGGAAAACATGGTGCATTGCTTCATACAAAGAGTGGCCTGCAAAGTCCCAAATGCTGATTTTAGTGTACTTCTTCTCGCTATCATTCGGTGACGTTCCCACAGGGTGACTCAGCTTTCGCTTGATTTGATCGACTGGCATGGTACGTGAAGTAGTGTCTCCAAATAGAACACTGGGACTTGCAGCAGGAGACATATTCACCATACTTGTTTCATCCGCGTTGCTTCTTATTCCAGTACCTCCTGAAGTAGATGGACCTTCTATGCTAGCAAGTCGCCTGAAATTGGTTGGGGGAAAAGACAGTCTTGACTGAGAACAACCAGGTTGTTTGCCATGAGAATCATTAGACTGGCCTTTTACTGGGGTGCCTCTAATTCCCTGACACACTTTCTCAGCTAAAATGTCATCTACAATGGAATTATTCAGGTCAACCGCATGCCACGACTCGTCTAATTCTGTCATCTCAACCATGGATGTGACAATTCCACGAGTTTCTTCCCGTTCTTCTACAAAATCTTCTCCACTAAGAGAACGTACCAGGCTTGTCTTGCCCACGCCTACATCTCCAATCACGGTGAGCTGCATACGAGGTACACAAGCTTTCCCCTCTAGTAGTGCCTTGTTAAATATTTCAACTGCCAACTCGCCCCTCGCAAGAACTTCATAAGGTTCACTGGATTTGTCTGTATAGGTTTGGGATGCACGAATGAGAAATATTTTCAGTAAAACATTTTATCAATTATTATTTACGAATTTCCTTTGTATAATTTATCCTTAGGTTTTGTAAATGTATCACTTTATTTATTTTAAGAAATTCTCTCATTAGTTAACATCTAGAAAACGTTCAGGTCTTACTATGTGACTGAGGTAGTGAGTTCTACTGATTGGCAACAATAAGGTCTCGTTTTAGGGGAGAGTTGTCAGGTTTTGGAATAAAGTTCTGCTGATGGTGGCTATGGACTGTGCGTTTTACCAAAAAAGACCCCACCTTTCAGGGCAAGGGAGAGAAAATGGAGGAACAAATGCTACTCATAAAATGATAGTTAGCTTAGTCAAAATCACTAATTGTAAACATTTCTCATCAATTTTAAGATAGCTTCACCTTGAATATTTGATGGACTCATTTCTTCAGCCTGCCTTGGTTCTTCACGACCTTCGATTTTCGTGGGTACCTCTGCAATATTTACACGGCGTAGATTGTCACATAACGGTTCCATTATCAGCTTGAATTGCTTTGCTGTGAAAAAACAGTACCTCATGATTTTAACAAATACTCCGTTCGACGCCAATTTAGCTTGAATTGCTTTGCTGTGAGAAAACAGTACCTCACGATTTTAAAAAATACTCCGTTCGACGCCAATTTATCATCAAAGTTGCAATATGATTAGGAAGAAACGAAAAAGGTTGCTGAATTGTATGCCACCAAAGTTATCAGTGTATTGCCAACTCACTGGTGAATCAACGCAGACTGTCACCATCCTATTCTTTTAGTTCAGCACAAGACTAAACAAAAATTTTAGGGTTACAAGCACAAACTAAAAATTAACTGAAATAACCACCAGCTTCATGTTTTGCTCCGTCACAAAGTTCAAAAATAGCTGGAAAACTCGCTCTTTAAACCGCCATCATTCTCCCCTACGAAAGGAATATTTTTTGCACTCTCCAGACTTAGCAAATTAATGGCATTCAGTCATTTAGCCAAATGATATCCAACAACATACATACAATGCATTCTTCCCTACGAAGGGAATATTTTCTGCACCCTCCAGTCTTAGCAAATTAATGTAATTCAGCCATTTCCCAAACAGTTGAATTAATGCAGCACTCACCAGCCAAATGATATCCAACTACATACATACAATATCTATCTTTTGCCAAAGACATTGGAGTGTTTCCATTGCAATCAGGTCTATTTATATCACCACCCTTCTTGAGCAGTAATCTGAGACAGTTCCCGTGTCCTTTCCATGCAGCTAGATGAACAGGAGTTTTGCCATCTTTGGGATCAACAACATTTGGATCTCCATCGACCCAGCTAAGCATGATCGTCAAACACTCTTCGTGGCCGCCGAAGGCAGCACAATGCATCGGCGTGAATCCCATCTGAGGTTTCGACGGTTGATGAGAGTCTCCTGGCGAATCTGCCATCTCATTTCTCATTAATTTCTCCACGAGTTGAAATTTCCCCGTGCAAGCGGCGTAGTGCAAATCTTTCAAATGATGGCGACTTTTTTTCAAGTGTTGAATTAAAGCTCTCGTGCTTGAAAAGTATCGACCACATTGACCACAACTTTCGGGTACACTAGCCTTCGAGATCTTATGTTTTGAACTGTGTTCTAGATGCTTAATATAACTCTCTTTAGAGTCCTTTCCCTTGAATGGTCGATTGCATTTCGCACAGCTATGAATAGCCCTTACACAGGGTATATCCTTGTCAGTAATCGGCATTCTCAA